TTGATTTACAATTTGATTGTATTTTTGTTGGAGTTTGATTGATATTGTTTATTTTGTTTATTGAATGGTTAATTTGATTTGATAAGATTTACTAAGTTTGAGGCTTGAATGAAACCCAGTAACTGGGTTCAATTTCTCAAGGTAGAGGAGTGGAAATGAGAGAGTATTTAGAGAGGAAGAAGAAATGGGTTAAGATTGATTCTGCAGATGGAGTGGAGGTTAATTTTGCAGAGAGGGAAGATGAGCAAGGAAGATGAGGTTAATTTTGCAGAGAGGGAAGATGAAAAGGAAGATGACATGTCGCAAAAAAAAGTCCAAATCAGCGCCTTTTAAGTTGTTTTTGCCATGTCATCCAAAAAAAATATAAAAAATGCCATGTGGTCAAGTTAACGGCGAAAATTGACAGAAGGACTAACGGAGTGCATTTCGTATAGTTAAAGGATCAAAAAAGTGCAAAAAATTGTTGAAGGACCAAAAATGTGCAACTCACTAAAGTTGAGGGACCAAATTTAGCATTTAACCTATTTCCTTTTTGAAAAGTTGAAATCAGGTTTGATTTTCAAGAGACAAAGATAATATAAAATATTAAACACAAACTGGAAGTTAGGATACGTTGGATTTTTCTTTTATTTAATGAGAGTTAACATTAGATTTTTAATTATGTAATTTAATAAAGTATATTAGTCTCACTAGAAGCTCGAACTTAACCATGGTTAACATAGGAGTTGCATTTGCGTGTGATATCATTTCATTTGCACGTTTGATTTGCTCATTTTGTTTCAAAATAATAGATATTTTTTATTTAAAATTTATTTTAAAATAATAATTTTTTTAAAATTTTTGAAAAAGATAAATATATTTTTAATTAGATTTATGATTATTTTTTTAATTTTAAATATCTATATTATAATAATAAATTTTTTTATTTAAAAAAAAATAAAATAAGTAAAGATATAAATTACTTCTAAATTTTTAATCATAAGATAAAAATAAAAAATATTTAATTTTTTAAAACATAAGGAATATATTAGTATACAGTTAGTATAGAAGCAAATTTTTTATTGAAGAATCTCAACATCATACTTCATACGATCCCAATGTTATTTTAAAGTTTTTAGATTAAAAAAAAAAACATTTTTCAAACAATATACCAACATTCCGATGCATATGCTTTTTGATTAACATAACTGCATATCTATGACCTTTGATACCTTAAAATCAATGTTAAACTCGGTTGGAATAATTCACATCCTTTTGTGATCAACCAAAAATGATTTCATTGAATGAGAGCACAAAAGGGGTACTCCAACCCATCCAATATACTGCTGTTAAAACTTCATCAGACCACTTCAAAGACATCATCACAGAAGTTCAAAAAATAAAACAAGAGACTGCATCTTCCAAGCCCCAATTCACAACAATCAGTACACCCTCATACCACTAACGCACATCCTACTTGCTAGTTTTTAGCATGAAACAAACGGGGATGATCATGATGTCTGGCATCTTACTTTTATGTTGATTTTTCAGATAAATAACAAAAACAGAAATTATTTTCCTTAACTCCTGAAGATGTGGATATAGCATATTAGGCAATTAACTGAAATGCCCTTGGGTACAAAGAATCTTATCGCATCAGGATCTTTACTTGTACATGTTGTATTTTGAGCCACTTATATACTCGCCATGCTCCTTCAAGTACTCAACGAATCATTTGAAGAATCCATCACTTCTTAATGTTTCAGTGTCACAGACTAGGCAACAATTTCTTCTTGCTTGTGTTGCAACCACATTCATATTCATCCATGGTCACTTAAAAACCCCAGCCAAACATATCAAAATGATACAATTTTATTTCCAATTTAGAGTTCTACCAAAGGAAAAAAGAGTTGGAACAATAGCTTAGACTACCTCTTTGGCATGGTTTGACCAAAAAATGGAAATAATAGTGGCTTCTTTCTCTTGACCTTGGAAACCATCAGAAGTTGAGATTTCCACATTCCTTAGACTGTCCTTATTGCATCGCAACATCTTTAGTAAGACAAACTAAAAAATAATTGAAATTTGAGAGAACAAACCATCCATACATTGGTTAATTCCTGAAGGGAATGGAAGTAGAGCAAGCACAGACAACTGACTAGCTAGAGCACAATATACTCTTTGGTACCTGCACAGAATATGGGGTAATGTAATAATTCTAATGTCAGAAGCTTGGACTCATCTCTCAAGAGAAATATCAAATCTCAGCTTCACCTTCATTCAATCTGTGTTGTCTTCTTGTCATACTTCTTTCATACCACATCACATCTGAAGCAAATTAATCATGTACGTTTAATAAATTTAAGAGCTGAAGTAAGAAAAGCTTAATAAAATTTGATTACAGAATCAATATCAAGTTAGGAAGTATGGTCCTCATATTTCTAAAACTTTTGTGTTACTTAAATTACATTTATGCTTGTTAAGGTGTGACAGTATATATGAATCAAAGTATGACTTGCATAAGATTCATAAGGTTCACATTTTGAACTTTATGTATAAAATACCACACTGATAAACATTATGTGATGCAAAAAGCACAACTTAAGCTCACTTAAGCACACTAATAGAAGGGACCGTTGTCTACCTCTGGTACCAATTAAAGCCAATATGCTAATAGCACATAAGGAAAGTGCGAATATTGCACCTAAACCAGCAAAACTTCAAGAGCTCCCATCACTATTTATTTGAGTCCTTACCTTTGTGTGCTGGAAGAACTTCTCCTTTGATGGATGAAAATCAAGAAGTGTTTTCCCCAATAGCCCTGTCCACTTTGAAAACCAAACACAAAGTAAATTATAAGATACCCGAGTGATTCAATGTTCCATTTTGGTAGAATGAATCAAGGTTTGACTTGTATTATTGTATATGATTCCTAAGGTCCACACTCAAAACTTTTTAGAGAATAAAGAACAGGAACGTGTTGAGCTGCTTGGGTGGATATCCCTTTTCTGTTGCATGGGTTCTTCAATTTGCAGCAGCTTGGTTACGGTTTTTTTATCATTATTAGTTATATAAAGTTCTCTCCAGCAATAATTGTTTTGCCATTAAATTCCTCACAAGCTTTAGATCTTTATATGATATATTCTTCTTAAATCAGCTTGGGGAACTTGGGAGGCTTTCAGTATCAATGAAAAAGTTGGAGAAGGAGCTAAAGAACGGTGATAAGTGCCAAGTATGTTTAACATAGTTACTATTCTGTGTGCTCACCGTTGGGATTCTCCTATTTGAATTTTCATATTATATTGTGGTGGATAAAAAGGGCAGTGAATGAATGGTATTATTTGATGGGAAATTTATTGTATAGAGGTTTTTGTGTATTGTAAAATAGATTAGAGTACCATTTGTTCTCAATAAATGAATAAAATGTGTTAGGTTTTTATCAATACAGCAAAATAATAAGTTTAGGAGAAAATTATAAAATAAAAGTGAATTACTAATTAAAAAAAAAAAGATCTATACCAATGGAATTATCCATTTGTAAAAGTAAAAGTCTATACCTATGGCAAAATTTTTAAAAATTTTTCAGGGTCTATACCAATTGAATTATCCATCTATAAAGGTCAAGATCTATACCCACGATAAAATCTCTTAAAATTTTTTAGAGTCTATACCATCGGACAAGCATACCACCGCACAAGTATTCCATCGGAATAGATACTAGGGCCTATACAAATGGATTAGTCGTTGCCTCGTTGGTATATACCTTATACTAACAAGGTTTGCATCAACTGAAAGTTCTTTTTAAATAGTCCGTAAGGGTTTATATTGACCAAAAAAAGGTATATATAGATGAAAAACTTCCGTTAGTATAGGAACATCTGCTTGTAGTGTCCAATGCATAAAACAAGTGAATAATAACGTATGATACAACGAAATGCCAAATTAAACATACATACCCCTGAGTGTCTACAAATTTGAAATTTGGCCCCTCTCACATTAAATTCTGGCTCTGCTCTACATTGACCTGTTGACGCTGACGTTGACGCTGCTGCATCAGAAGTAAAGCAGCATTCTTGAAACGATTCTTCTCACGCCCAGCTCTAAAATCATCAGACGTCACCTCAAGCCTAACATCATCAGCATCAGTATCATCAGCATTAGTATCATCAGCACTAATAATATCTTCAGACTTTGTTTCTGGACTTGCAAACTGAGTTCCGATGCCCAAATGATTCATCAACAGCCAAACTAAAGTGATGAGTTCTCCACCTTTACTTGGTTGCTGTGCATGCACATTTGGCTTGCAATTAATAGCTGCATAGCACATTATTTCCACCCAAACTTGGCTCATTAATTTCCACGGAATGCGATGCGATCCCTCGTGAAATCCCTTCAGCTGATGGGCAAGCTTATGCGCATGATAATGTAAAATAGGATACCGTTTTGCACCCCTATAAAATGGAAACTTGAATAAGAAGTCACGACTGTCTGGATCCAATTGAAGTACTGCTCTGGAGAAAAATTTTCCATCCAAACTGGACGGACTATTGAAAAAGCACTTTATATCGTCACATGATTGCTTATGTACATCTTTCCAATCAAGGGACACAGTGGACATCATGCCTGGCTGCATCTCCATAAGGTATAACATATAATCTGAGAGTAACTTGGAAATCGCTTTGTAATTTATTAAATGCCCATCCATATTGTTTGATGTAGAACTATCGTCCTCGTCATGAAAGCACAAATCGGTGGCAAAGTGCCATGTCAGAAGGCTTTTCGAGTAATCCAAATCCTTGACGCTCCAGATGAGACGCCTATATTCGTTGTTGCTGTCAAGAATTCCATCACCTCTTTTCAAAGAAATTTTGATGCCCTGTTCTACCGTTGCTGCAAACGCAGCCTTTTTTTTCACTTCTTCAAGAATGAAGTGCCACACTTCTTCCGTTAAAGTTTTGGAGGACAAGCATCTGCTTAGTTTAATGGCATCCAAAACATTCCTTATGTGAAGAAAATCAGCCAATTTGTTGAGCCAATATGGACGGTCATTAACAAAACAGGTTATAAAGTTGCACTGGGGGATTCTTCTGGACCACCTACGTCTGTTTTTAATCCAGGCCACAATTTTGCATTCCGGAATCGGAATCTTTCCGAGAGCTAGATTGAAATCGGAAAAAATAAGAAATCCGATGGATATGAAATCCAATGTTATGGCCCCGATCAACAGACCATAGGTTAGCCAGATTTCAAACTTTCCCAACTTGTGGTAGTGGTTGAGAATTAAGCCGAATGACAACAAGGCTCCAAAAATGCAACCAAAACTAATGGCCCGCAAAACATATCCAATCTTACAGCAAACCACGGGCAATTTGGTGTGGAGGGCTTCATACAAGAGGCTTAGCTCAGTCTCTAATTTCAGAAGGACCTCTTTTGACCCTCCCTCTTTAATTACTTCTCTGTTGGTATGGCGTACTTGTGGATGCACAAGGGGCCCTACAAGTAGATTCTTGATAATGCCCGTGGCAGGCTGTTCAAAATGGTCAAAGCTTGCAAGATAAAAAGCATAATTTCGCTCTGCATATTTGATTATTCCTGCAATGAACACTAGGAGGGTTGGGAGCCAAAGCTTCTTGCCTGGGAGTGATTGAAGCATAACATAAACAGTTGAACCAATTTGTAACATAAGCCCAAACAAGTGCCTTAACCAAAGCTCATTATCCTCCAAAGAGAAGGATGTAATGCTATCGGGGCCACCAAGATGCAACAAAAGAAAGGGTGCCCAAAAGGCTAGGATGTCACTTACTTCGGCACGTCCCATGAGTCCAATAGTAAATGTAGCAACCCAGTCTGCAAGCAAGTATGTCAACCAAATCGGAACCACGATCCATTTATTCCCACTTTGTCTCCTTAATGGTGCAAACAGATTTAGAAAGCACTGAACCAAGAGGCTTAGAATAATCAGTCCTCTGATCTTCCATGTACTCCATAGCTTTATCACGCTTTCAACAACTGGCGGGCCCAACATCTTCTTTATAGTGTTCTGCGTTTGGGATTACTATGAGTCCATACTGCTTCATCAAAGTGAGTTTTTTTTTTTTTTTTTTTTTTGGTTTGTTAATCAAAGTGAGAAATTTAAAATCCCATATTCAATTAAGGAGAAATTTGTGAGTCTATATATGATATGAGCCTTCTCAGCCATTGTCAATTTTGTTTGTTTTTAGGTTGGATGCTCTTTCTCACTAATGGCCCCTACTAAATGGTGAATTGCCAAGATTATTGATTGATTTTG